TAAGAACCCGAAAGGAAAGTTAGCAGTGCCGATGGCTTTGTGCGAGGCCTGAGACCTGGCCCTCAAAATTTGGCGCTGGACTTCGTGAACTTCTTCCAGTTCGGGAGCGACTTGCTTTGCCTGGGGAGATCAAGGAAGGAACGGTTTTTGTGTCCTCGGATGCGACCAAGTTGGTTATCGGGGCCATCGATTGGACCAATGGCAAGGTCATGCGGATGAAAGCTGCGGCAGCGGCCCGACGAGGTTGCCATTCATGTCGCGGAGATGTTGTCCTTTCTTGCCTTCGCATGCCGGATGGGGCCTTTGTGGGTTGGCAAGGTCATCCTGTACGGTGGCGATAACCAAGTCGTCCGTCAGTGGATCACGGAGCGGCAGAGTGCATGGCACGGTCTCCGGGCGGTTCATGGTCAGGACCCTCAACATGATCGAAATGAGGTACCGTTGCATTGTGTGGTAGCAGCTTGGCTTCGAACATATCACAATGTGGGGGCAGATTTTGTGACGCGGTGCAGTGACGAAGAGTTCGGTAGATGGGTCAGGCAACATGACCTGACCGTTGTGGACATCGGTGGTTACCTACGCCAGGCGGTGGAGGACTCCGAGAGGTTTGGACCTTGTTTGTTGGCGTGGGATGTCGACGACCGTGATATTCTTCGTCTAAAGGAGCGGAGACTAAAGAGGACGATCCCCGCCGTTTTGGTTCCCGATTGGGGAGCGCTTAGGGTCGTCGAGTTGGCCGGTGAAGGCCGATGGGTCTTGGACTTCATGGATGCAGCCGACTCCCTTGGTTGTGAGGCTCGGACGGCTGGGTGGTCCGGTCCCGTTGGCGTTGATGAGATCGTACTGTCTGCTCTTTGCCCAGATCGCCATGGAAAGGTTGGAGTGGTTGTCGCAAAGGCGGCGATCAGTGGCAAGGCTCGCTTGGCAGTCCTTGAAGGTCCCCGTGCTGTTGATTGGCCGCGCATCTGCGAGGAGTTCGTGAAGGCCGGATGGCAGGTCTTTGAGGGCGAGTTCGTGACGACAGAGTTTGGTGAAGCGGCTGCCCGTCGGCGAGTTTGTGTGGTGGCCTCGGACACGTGTGAGGTGACGGCTGCGTTGGATCGTACTACCTGCCGAAGTTTGTTGGCTGCCCCCCTATGTCCTCGCGGATTACCCCAACAAGGATGGTCCCCGAAAGTCAGTGGATCAAGCCCTCGAAGGTGATCACAGATGCGGGTGTGCCGCGTGAACCGTTGCTCCCAGTGGTCAAGGGGCATTATTGGGATCAAGGCAGACGACGCAACCTTTATGGCACGAGTGGACCGTTGTTGTGGCCCTTGGAGGACTGCGTCGTGTTCGACCCCAGGGGGCCACCCGGGACCGTGCGAAAGTTGGAGCCGGAGGAGGTATGGATGTGCCAAGGCCGCGCAAAGCAACAGCTGGATTCGCTGCTTCACGAGGGCTTGGACCTTCAAAGGGCCTTGGCTGAAGGTAACAAGGCAACCGGAGGGCACACTGCCGTGGCCTTGACTTTGATGGCGGGCTATGTGGGCCGAACTGGTGACACGAGAAAATCGGGCGGTGGCTACGATGTCCTGGGTGATGAGTCCCTGGCCAAATTGCTCAAGTGGCTTGGTCAATGGCGGCGGGGCGGTTTTCCACGGGCCCTTCTGATGACGATTGCCGAGCTGGCGGGCGAGGAGACGGACCACGAGATCGAACGAGCAGTCTGGCGTTGGGGCGAGGCACTTTGGTTGTGGGCTTTGTTCTCAGAGGAGGATGTGGAAGATGACAACTCCCAACAGGCCGGAGCACGAGCCAATGCTAAAGTGTGCGAGGCTGCGAACGCATGCGGTGACGCCCAAATCCAGGACTGTCTTCTTCCTGTGCGACCATTCGATGGCCTTGTCGGTGACCGGGTCGATGAATGGATCGAGGAGAATCTGAGCGGCTACCGCGCGGATAGCGCCACCAAGCAGTATGCGGGCATCTACGGCAAGTGGCGAGCATGCTCCCGACGGCAGAGGTGGCGCACGGAGTACCTCGACAAATCACGGCGGGTCGAAGACAATGAAGACAAGATCCTCGGCTTCCTAGGTTACCTCGGGTGGCTGGGTTGCACGGTTGCCACCATCAAGCAGGCAGTCTTTGCCCTCAAGGACGCTCGCAAGAGGGCGGGCAAAGGTGATCCGACGGAGGGCATGTGCCGGCTGTGGATGCTACTGGGCGCCTTGGAAAAGCGCTCTTCCAAAAAGCCAAGGCGACTGGGCGTGACTCCGGAGATGCTGCGATGGATCAGGGAGGCGACCAACGCGAGCCGGGGCGAAGCAGCGGACGTCTTCGATGCAGCGGTCATTCGGGCAGCGGTCACCACGGCTTGGTTCTTTATGCTGAGAGCCAAAGAGTACTGCGACTCGAATGGCATCGACTATGCCATGATCCTAAGGGGCGTAGATGTGAAGTTTGTCTTCGAGGAGAAGGACGGCGTCCAGGTCTTGATTGGGGTGACCATTCAGTTCAGGAAGACCAAAACGGACCAGGAGGCCTGGCACGTGCAAGACCATGTACCGGTCAGGGGATCCCGACCTGTGTGTGGTGGCTGCCTTGGAGGAGTTGAACTGCTTGGCACCGAGAAGGTTTTGCCAGGGCCCTGAAGCATTGCAACCTTTGTTCCGATGGGCGAATTGAAGAGGCTTCAAGTTCAGAATGTCTTGCAAAAGGCTGCAAAGGCTCTGGGGCTACCTGCTGAGCGCTTCATGTCGCACTCGCTTCGGATTGGAGGTGCTTCAGCGCTTTTTCAGTCGACTGGTGAGATTGAGCTTGTGAAGAGAACCGGAAGGTGGTCATCGTCAGCTGTGCAGAGATACTTGCATGACGGGGAAATTGCCCTGAGAGATGCGGCCAAAAAGATGGCTACAGTTGAACAGCGCGTTCATTATACGTAGTTGGGGGCACAGGGCCTGAATGGGCCACATACTTCCAACTTGATGGGTGCAGTGGACGGCGTAAAAGAGCTTTGAGTCCGCTGACCGTGTGTGCACCAAAGTGAACAGTTAGGAAGTAACTTAAGCTTTTGTGCATTGAAGGGATGCACGATTCGCAGAGTTTTGGCTGTCAAAGGCAGCCCACCCTCAGCCACCCTGGGGGCACAGGGCCTGAATGGGCCACATACTTCCAACTTGATTGGTGCAGTGGACGGCGTAAAATATAAAAGAGCTTTGAGTCCGCTGACCGTGTATGCACCAAAGCGGCCTTTTTTTGGGTGCACGAATCAATTCCCTTGCCAGTGCGGCAGTGTCCGAATCCTGGGGTTGTGCAGGTGCTCGAATCCGCCCTTTTGGTGCTCGAATCGGTTTTCAACCGAGACGTACAGCTGACTTCTCTTCAGCTGTCCGGAGGCCTCGATCAGCCGCAAGTCAGTGGACGCAAGGGCGCAATCCCAACAAGGTTCTGCGCAACAGCCGAACCTTGACCTTACACTCGCTTATCGAAAGGGCAAAGTCAGCCGCTCTTCTTGACTGCGCGGGCCTTTCATCCTCTAAGCGTTTGGACACAGCAGGCCGAATAGATGCAACATTTCACCATCCGCAGGGAGCAAACGCCTGATCCGAGCGGTGAGGCGGCTACGCTAAGGCCAGAGTGCCCGCAACGCAAGGAAGAATTGGTCAACCCGCCAACTATCCATTTGGGCTGGGCGGCTATGATGCTGGGTCGGGCATGGTGCTCAGGGACACTGACCTCTTTGAGCGTTCTGTGCACCAGGCGGCGAACTAAGGACGGAAGGAAGGAAGGAAGGAAGGAAGAAGCAGCGAAGGACGGACGAAGGGGAGGGGAGGGAAGGGACGGGAAGGGAGAAAGGGAAGGAAAGAAGGTCGTCATCTTTCAGAATATTCCATTAAGTAACCACATGTTTCATCAGTTAATATCAGTTACATCATTTTCTATGATTTTATGCAGGTTTCTCACCATTTTCATCACATGTCATGTTGTTTTCATGATTTTGTACCATGTCCCCTTAGTTTTCATCAGTTTCCACGGCCTCCTCATTTTGCATCATGTTTGTGATTATTCATCATATTCATCATTTTCAGCAGTTCTCATCAGTCTTCATCGTTTCGAGATTTTTCATCATCTTTCATGAGTTCCCATTATTTCATCATTGTCCTCATTGTCCATCATTTTCCATGGAATCAGAATTCTTGTTGTTTATCATCATGCTCATCATTCGAATTCAGTTTTCTATCCTTTCATGTTTCACAGGTTTCAATAGTTTTCGATAATTTCCATCATTTGCATCGTTCTCATTTTTTCACTATTTACATGTTCCATCATTTTCATGTGCTTTCATCATTCTAATCATGTTCCACGATTTTCAGACTCTTCGTCCCGTGTCATCAGCTTTCGTCATGCTTTTAAATAGATTCGTCATGCTTCTTCATACTCGTCATGTCTATTTTTTATGATTTCATGACGCTCCATCATTTACATCAGTTTCCATGAAAACATGAATTGTCTAATAGTTAACTCTCAGCAACAACTGCCACATTCCTCAGTGGTTTGGAGAGGCGACCCCCGACCCCTTGCTCTTTCAAAACATGAAGGCGTACCATGTCAAAAAGTGAATCCTGATCAGCCATTGCCACATTCCTCGATGGTTTGGAAATGGAGGCATGCCGCCGCCCCACCCTCCGCATTTTTTAAAGCATGAGCCCGTAAGCTTCCAATAGTGCATCCTCATCAGCAACTGTGACATTCCTGAATTCCTGAATGGTCTGCAAGTGTGGGAGGCGTGCGCCCCCGCCGACCTCCCCACCCTTGAAAAATGTCTAAGTAGCAGTCTGGTAGCGAACGCTGCGACATCTGACATCATTTTATCCGGTCATTCCTCCATGTATACATGTGCCCATCAATCCAATCTCTAACATACTTCCTTCATATAAGTATTTACTAAGAGCTAATCTCACGAAATCCGTATGAAAACCTGACATCATGCCATCAACTTCACCTCCCATCCGTCAGAGGAACTTCGCAACAACCACACAAACCTCATCACATCATCCCATTCACATCATTTCATCAATCAAGCATCAGGCCACCCTAGATCCAACCACTTGGATGGAAAACCTGTCGCAGTCATGTCAGCAATTTCACGCCGCGTCCGATGTATCTCTGCCCCATGAAAACTGTACAGAACCACGTCGCGCCATCCCATTCACAACATTACACTAATCAAACATCAAGCCATTCCGTGGGCAACCACTTCAACAGAAAAAAACAACTCTCCGAGCAAAATTCTGAAGATGCTCCGCGTGTTCACTGAGGGTCGGGAGGACGCTTCATGCGAGAGCGTCCGGATACACCTTCGACATGCTCTGCGCAGGAGCGGACGCGCTGGGTTCACTGCGAGGCTTCTCGGTTCCGTTAAAACATGCCGCGAATCCAGCGGGTTGTCGATTCCCAACAAAACATTGAGCACGCTCCACGCAGAGCTTTAGGACACTTTGCGGACACTGCGATGCTTGTCGATTCTGAGCGAAATTTTGTGGCGGGAGCGTCCGAACCCTGTGGCGTAGTGCTAGGTTCTCGGGGTGAGCAGTCAGCGCCGGTTGGTTAGAGCTGGATTCCATCTTCCTGCTGGTAGGAGACGAAACTTGAAGTCGTATCAAGAGCAGGGTTTTTGGACTAAAGAGCTGCAGAAGTTTACTCGAGGGGGCTGAAGGAGACATTTTAACCTTGGTTTTG